CAGCAGTCTGTCCAGCTTCTCTCAGAGAGACTCCATGAAGCTGCCTGAAGGCTCTGCTTCTCTCAATGCACCCTGTGATGAGCCAGGCCATTTTAACCCCTTCTGGGAGGAAGCTGAGCATAAACGAGTGTCCTGGACCTCATCGTCCGACTCAGACTCTGGACCCAGTTTGCCCCGTTTCTTCATCCGTTCCAAGGACGGCAACGAGCCGCCCCAAGACCACCTTCAGTACTCCTACTCCTACATATGCCATAAACTAGAACAGCTGAGAACAGAGGAGAACCAGCAGGAAGGTGATGATGGGAAACCGGAAAAGGAGAAGCGACCTTCAGGCTTAGGTGTTGTGAAAGATCAAGCGATGAACAGGACTCGGTCTGCCTTCGTCCCGCAGGGATTGTTCCTCAGTCAGAGGAGACACGGTTGGTCCTTGATGCTTCGGATCCCAGAGAAGAAGAACCGCATGTCCTCGCGCCAGTGGGGTCCCATATACCTGCAGCTGCTGCCCGGAGCGCTGCTGCAGCTCTTTTATGAGAAGGGCTTGGAGAAACCCTTCAAAGAGTTCCAGCTGCATGCCTACTGCGCTCTCTCGGGTCCGAAGCTCGAGAGTTACGGCGAGCCGCGCAAGATCGCCACGCTGAAGGTCGAGCATGTGTCGTACGTCGAGAGAAAGCGCTATCACCCCAAACATGAGGTGACCCACGAACCAGAAGTGGAGCAACTCTTGAAGTTCGGCACCACAGAATACGGAGACATGGAGGACTTGCTGGTGTCCATAGAAGAAGAGCTCCTGCGGTTACCAGTGCCGCACCAGCAGCACAAACACTATGAAGAGCAGGAGCTGTCCTTGCAGATATCTGACCGCGTCTGGATGCGACAGAATAAGGACGGCGCTGTTCTCGAGTGCACGGCCATTACACAAATTCACTGTCTCGCCTTCTTGAACGGGGCGGCTGAGTGCTTCCTAGCTCTGAATGACCTGGGGCTTCTCAGACAAGCTCCTGCGTACGCCTCTGATGAGGACGAGGAGGTCTGGATGGAGATCGCAGACTACCATTTCCATCGGTGTGTCAGAGAGGCAGAGTTTGTAGACAAGCGGCTGATTAAGTTCTGTCCTCCGGACGCTTGTCGAGTGGAGCTGGTGCGCTACAGGACGGTGTCGCTCCACTGCGGGGAGCCCCCGCTCTCTGTTAAAGCCCTGGTGACTGTGCAGGGCGCCTGCGTCGAGCTCCAGGTCTTCCTCAACGTCTTGTCCGGGTTCCCATCGCCTACAGAGACGGTCTGTGAAAACGTTGTGCTTCAGGTGCCGTTCCCGGGCGACTGGGTCAAAGTGCCCAACAGCATGTCGCTGCTGCGGCAGAAGTCTCTGAAGGCTCGCATGAACAGAAACACATGTCTGGGCTCAGCGCATGTGGCCGAGTCTCAGTCTGTGATGCACGTGTCTGTCGGCACGGTCAAATATGAGAACGTGCATCGAGCCGTCGTGTGGAGAATCGAGCGGCTTCCTCCCAAGAACATGGGTAAGAAAACACAACACAACTCCCTATTTGAATATCAGTGGTGGATATATTATCATAGGTTAAAGAAAAATATATACATTATATACACAGGACATTATAATTTTATCTCAGTGAGGTAAAGTTTTTGAGTCAGGACCGCAGATAGAATCAGATGACTGCACTGCAGACATCATAACAGTCCAAGGGGTTTTGACACTAAGGAAGGAAATGATGGGAATAGTAATAATTATTTGTTTACAGTGCCCGTTGTCACAGTAAAATATACCAATTAAGTAAATAATCTTCAACTTCAGATTAACTTTTTAAAAATAATGTACTTAACTTGTAATGAAGCAACTTATGCATGACAAATGAAGATCAAAGTTGGGTTGCTTAAATTGTAATTTAAAAGAATTTAAACCCTGTAACAAAGTCAGACTGAATTGTTTTGAGCGACTCATTAAACCAGTAACATTCTCTTAGATGAGCTTTTGGACGTATCCGAGCCATGTTGAGCTGGGTTAACAACAGAACCATCTTGTTTTGGAAATGACCGACAAACTGAAAACTGATAGTGAATTCATATACTGAGAGTGTTTGGATTGACCCAAGGAGCTCACTAATGGAGCAAACAATAACTAAATCTTTCCAGTTTCCAGCCTCTGCCAGCATTTTCGATCATTTTCACAAAAACAAAACATCCCCCAGAATATTTTGTTGTATGAATATCTGAACATGCAACAGAGTAATTGCTGCTGATCAGAGGAAAAATGATCTGATCTGGGACAAACTAATAGAAAAAAACATAAGCAAATATATACATTTAAACAGAACTAGTTCACTAAAAAACTGTTTAGAAGAACCGTTTTGTGTACATGAATTAGACTTATAAATTGCATTTCTCTATATTTTTCTTATGAGAAGTGTATTAGAAACCATCTAGTTTTTTACTGGATTGCTGAACCTGCATTATAGGCTGGGGTTCACCTCATCACCATTACACACAACACATATATAAGGTCTGTAGATCAGAACTATAGGCAAAAGTCATGTAGACGACGTGTTTGTGAGGATAATAGAGGAAACTGATGGTGTTATTTGTGGAAAGCTAAAGACTGACTGCTGAACTCACAAACACCGTCGCCTTCAGTCAGTTCTAGAGGGATCTGCTCTTGATATTTGGTGTCTCACTGATAGTTTGTTACTGCTGCTAGTAACACAGTGCTGGTCATCTCAGGTGAGGCTCAGAGCAATGGAAGGGTCTTATTTGGTCATTCATGTGTGGGTAAATCTCACAGGTTTTGTGACTGTCTTCTCCGTAGCTCTGGAGCAGCCTCAGTCGTTGGCGTGTAAGCTGGAGCTGGCGTCAGATCAGGAGATTCCCGCCGACTGGCTCCCGTTTGTCAGGGTTGAGTGTGAGGTGGCAGATGCGGTGGCGTCCCACACGCGCGTGAAATCTGTGGGCATCGAAAGTGACGTTCAGCCGCAGAAACACCTGAGCAGCAGGGCACACTACCACTGCCAGGTACAGAAAGCTTACACATCACATGCACCGTGGCATTTCATAGTGGGTACTGCTTCAGCATTGCCTCTTTTTGCTAAAATATTCAGTCATTTACTCTGTGTTGAAGGTGGAGATTGAGAAGAAGCTGATTGAGGCTGAGTCGGTGAAGCAGTCAAGCTGCGCGGCACAGTGATGATGGAGGACGCGGATCACTGTGTTCATGTCGCTCACTACAATGAAATCACAGATTCCTTTTTATTATTGTCATTATTTTTCTACCATCATTTCTCATGTAGAATTCACACTCCAATATGCCACACATCTTGTACCATTAAGTAAACAAATGTTTATTAACCGTGAGAATAATGCAACTTTATATATAAATGTATTTTTCCAGAGTATTTTAATATCTTTAATGGTCTTATCCAATGAGTTATAATATTGCTGCACTTTACAATTCTCACCCCATTTTAGATTTGTACGGGACTGTAAAAATATGGGAACATGCGCATACATACAGATAATATGCACCTGTCTGACAAATGTTTGCAAAAGATACATTTTACTCATAAGCCCTGAGACTGTCAGGTGTGCACTAGGATAGTTTGGGGCAAGCAGAGGAGAATTTATTTTCCCACAAGACACTTGATCTGAATGTGCATGTGACAGTCTCGGGGCTTTTGCTGCAAGTGCAACTTAAGGGCCTGTAGTGTGCGATTGCTTAGAATGGTTATTAACTTACGCTTATGCATTTACCATTATTTATGTGGTTTCATGAAGTTATATTGTCCTAAGAAGAGAGTGCATAATAAATAAAAGCCTGTTTGTTCACTCTCATCTCTACTGATTCATCACTCTCTGACACGTTAAAACATTCACCTCAGTTTTCATATTGAGTATGGTTTTACTATACTCTGACATTAATATTTATGGACAGTCCCTAGAACAGTGTTGGTAAATTGTCAGCAATGCCATAATACTGAATGATTATCATATTCATAGTATTTATGGTATGTTTTTAGTGATTGTCTCTCATTAGAGGCTTTGTTGAGAGTGCAGGGGAAATACGACTGCTTTTCTTTAAAGGTGCACTAAGCAATAAGCAATATTTGAAAAACGCTTTTGACCACAGTGTCGGACCGAGTCCCAAAACACACTTGTAGCCAATCAGCAGTAAGGGGGCGTGTCTTGTAATGATAGAGAGAGAAAAGAGCGCTCCGTTTGAGTGCACAGGACGGATATTAGCAGATCGACTATAGATAGTAACATTCTCTTAGATGAGCTTTTGGACGTATCCGAGCCATGTTGAGCTGGGTTAACAACAGAACCATCTTGTTTTGGAAATGACCGACAAACTGAAAACTGATAGTGAATTCATATACTGAGAGTGTTTGGATTGACCCAAGGAGCTCACTAATGGAGCAAACAATAACTAAATCTTTCCAGTTTCCAGCCTCTGCCAGCATTTTCGATCATTTTCACAAAAACAAAACATCCCCCAGAATATTTTGTTGTATGAATATCTGAACATGCAACAGAGTAATTGCTGCTGATCAGAGGAAAAATGATCTGATCTGGGACAAACTAATAGAAAAAAACATAAGCAAATATATACATTTAAACAGAACTAGTTCACTAAAAAACTGTTTAGAAGAACCGTTTTGTGTACATGAATTAGACTTATAAATTGCATTTCTCTATATTTTTCTTATGAGAAGTGTATTAGAACCCATCTAGTTTTTTACTGGATTGCTGAACCTGCATTATAGGCTGGGGTTCACCTCATCACCATTACACACAACACACATATAAGGTCTGTAGATCAGAATTATAGGCAAAAGTCATGTAGACGACGTGTTTGTGAGGATAATAGAGGAAACTGATGGTGTTATTTGTGGAAAGCTAAAGACTGACTGCTGAACTCACAAACACCGTCGCCTTCAGTCGGTTCTAGAGGGATCTGCTCTTGATATTTGGTGTCTCACTGATAGTTTGTTACTGCTGCTAGTAACACACAGTGCTGGTCATCTCAGGTGAGGCTCAGAGCAATGGAAGGGTCTTATTTGGTCATTCATGTGTGGGTAAATCTCACAGGTTTTGTGACTGTCTTCTCCGTAGCTCTGGAGCAGCCTCAGTCGTTGGCGTGTAAGCTGGAGCTGGCGTCAGATCAGGAGATTCCCGCCGACTGGCTCCCGTTTGTCAGGGTTGAGTGTGAGGTGGCAGATGCGGTGGCGTCCCACACGCGCGTGAAATCTGTGGGCATCGAAAGTGACGTTCAGCCGCAGAAACACCTGAGCAGCAGGGCACACTACCACTGCCAGGTACAGAAAGCTTACACATCACATGCACCGTGGCATTTCATAGTGGGTACTGCTTCAGCATTGCCTCTTTTTGCTAAAATATTCAGTCATTTACTCTGTGTTGAAGGTGGAGATTGAGAAGAAGCTGATTGAGGCTGAGTCGGTGAAGCAGTCAAGCTGCGCGGCACAGTGATGATGGAGGACGCGGATCACTGTGTTCATGTCGCTCACTACAATGAAATCACAGATTCCTTTTTATTATTGTCATTATTTTTCTACCATCATTTCTCATGTAGAATTCACACTCCAATATGCCACACATCTTGTACCATTAAGTAAACAAATGTTTATTAACCGTGAGAATAATGCAACTTTATATATAAATGTATTTTTCCAGAGTATTTTAATATCTTTAATGGTCTTATCCAATGAGTTATAATATTGCTGCACTTTACAATTCTCACCCCATTTTAGATTTGTACGGGACTGTAAAAATATGGGAACATGCGCATACATACAGATAATATGCACCTGTCTGACAAATGTTTGCAAAAGATACATTTTACTCATAAGCCCTGAGACTGTCAGGTGTGCACTAGGATAGTTTGGGGCAAGCAGAGGAGAATTTATTTTCCCACAAGACACTTGATCTGAATGTGCATGTGACAGTCTCGGGGCTTTTGCTGCAAGTGCAACTTAAGGGCCTGTAGTGTGCGATTGCTTAGAATGGTTATTAACTTACGCTTATGCATTTACCATTATTTATGTGGTTTCATGAAGTTATATTGTCCTAAGAAGAGAGTGCATAATAAATAAAAGCCTGTTTGTTCACTCTCATCTCTACTGATTCATCACTCTCTGACACGTTAAAACATTCACCTCAGTTTTCATATTGAGTATGGTTTTACTATACTCTGACATTAATATTTATGGACAGTCCCTAGAACAGTGTTGGTAAATTGTCAGCAATGCCATAATACTGAATGATTATCATATTCATAGTATTTATGGTATGTTTTTAGTGATTGTCGCTCATTAGAGGCTTTGTTGAGAGTGCAGGGGAAATACGACTGCTTTTCTTTAAAGGTGCACTAAGCAATAAGCAATATTTGAAAAACGCTTTTGACCACAGTGTCGGACCGAGTCCCAAAACACACTTGTAGCCAATCAGCAGTAAGGGGGCGTGTCTTGTAATGATAGAGAGAGAAAAGAGCGCTCCGTTTGAGTGCACAGGACGGATATTAGCAGATCGACTATAGATAGAGAGAGATGGCAGATAAAGAGGAAAATGTCAGAGAAACAAAACATTAAAATAAGGGTTACGATCAGGCAAGAGGATCCGCGTAAATATCGGAGCAGCGTTCCAGCAGTGGAGAGAACTCAAGGAGCGGGAAGGGCTCGGATCAGACGCCGAGGTTGCGTTGTTTTTTCTTGATAGGTGAGTAATGTTGATTTTAACGTGTTTGTTTTGGTGCTTTCAAATATCAATATTGTTTGGCACAAATTGCTTAGTGCACATTTAAATCTGTTTTTTAGACTTCAAACTGCAGAATTAAACTTTTTGGTGCAAAGATTCACAGAAAGGTTTTTTTGTTCAAACTTTGGATGAATGTTGAGTTGATCTGCAGCATAGATGAGGCGGGTGCAGCGGTCGGTGGAGGAGAAACATCACAAATCCACTGCCAAAACTCATATTAAAACATGCTTCCTCATGTAGCTGTCAAATAAACCTGCCATATATTATATTATGTATATGCTGTAAGCTCCTTGACAAATTGCTTTTGTTTCTCTTTAGTAAGTCGCTTTGGATAAACGTGTCTGCTAAAGGCATACATGTAAATGCAATACTAACCCTAACCAAGGGTTTTCTGGTTAGCAAGGCCCTGTTATCCTTGCTGCTGGATGCTATGTTTATCTAGTTGTAAAACAGCAATCAAAAGTATATATATTTCTGTCATGACAACTCTCGGAGGGATTGGCATGGTAATGTACATGACTTGTCTTGACGGAATAGATCTGCTATGCTGCTGCTGTGACAGAGCAAGTACCAAGACTTACTACTGCCAAAACATGAAGGTGAAGTGAGGCGACCCATACTCGGAATTTGTGCTCTGCATTTAACCCATCCAAGTGCACACACACAGTAGTGAACACACACCCAGAGCAGTAGGCAGCAAATGCTGCGGGGTTCGGGGAGCAGTTGGGTGTTCGGTACCTTGCTCAAGGGTCTCACCTCAGTCATGGTATTGTGGGTGGAAAAGAGCGCTGGTTATTCACTCCACCCACCTACAATTCCTACCGGACCTGAGACTTGAACCTGCGACCTTCGGGTTATAAGTCCAACTCTCTATCCATTAGGCCATGACTGCCCCTTAGGCCATACATCCACAACATGCTGTTGTGAGCATGTAAGAAATACTGCTGCTGCAAATATAACACATGAAATAACCCCCCACAAAGCAGTAGACATAGAAGGGACAAAACACCCCACAAAAAGCAGATCTATCGCCAAGACATATGTACTGCTGCTGCTCCGAAGAGCCATGTGAAAAGCATATATTACTATCTATGTGAGCCTTGGCTACCACGCTGACCGGCTTAGCAATAGTGGCCTATGGCTATATGTGCCTGGGCTACTACGCCGACTGCCTTAACAATAGTGGCCTATGGCTATGTGTGCCTGGGCTACCACGCTGACCGGCTTAACAATAGTGGCCTATGGCTATGTGTGCCTGGGCTACCACGCTGACCGGCTTAACAATAGTGGCCTATGGTTATGTGTGCCTGGGCTACCACGCCAACCGGTATAACATTAGTGGCCTATGGCAATGTGTGCCTAGGCTAACTCGCTGACCGGCTTAACAATAGTGGCCTATGGCTATGTGTGCCTGGGCTACCACGCCGACTGGCTTATAATAATTGAATATATATTTACAGTAGTAACTGCAAATTATATTTTATTATATGATATGATTAATATCATGTTTTTAAATATGATGGTTTCATTCTAAACATGGTGATTATCTCTAATATGGACACCCAACATAACATATGATATTTACCATCTGAATCTAACCATGTCATGTCAACAAATGGAAAGTCAGCCATCTATTAATTATCATGTTAATTACTGTGCGCTTTTAGCCCCAACAGCAGGAGGCTAAAATACCATACTTTTACATATTCTTTCGTTATTTAAAAACTGTTGCTTTAATTATCTAAAACTAAACTGAAAATCATAAAGAAGACCTTTGTCTCAAAATATAAGCATTCATTTTAGTGATTCTCATTTGCTACTTAAATCTACAACATTTTTAAAAACATAAA